CTCCCTTCCCTGAGACACAGAGGTTTGATTGTTTGTTTTGTTTGTGTTGTGTTTTTCTTCCAATTTAAATTTAAGTTTATTTTATCCGTGTGTGTGTGTGTGTGTGCACGCGCGCGAGTGGGTTTTCGTCTGGGATAACTGGGTGAGTGAGAGGAACTACAGAGCTAACAAGACCGGGGACCAAGGTAAGGTCTCAGAAGGGATACCGATGGCAGACCAGGAGATGGCCTTGGCAGGAGTCACGGGTGTTGCTGTCTGCTGCGACAGCTGCAACATGTTCGCCCTTCTGCCCCAGGAAAGGCAGGGATACACTTGCCCTCGGTGCAAGATGGTGACCCTGCTAGAAGAGGAGGTGAGGTGCCTGAGGGCCGAGAGAGCTCTCCAGGCCCCCCCGGAGCAGCGCCCCCCCCAGACAGAGGGTTGAGGGAGAGACCACAGGAGGAGAAGCTGCAGAGACATGGAGGTATGTCACCCTCAGGAGGAGGAGGCCAGCACGGCCTCCTCCTTCTCCTGGCACCAATCTGGAGCTGGGAAACAGGTTCTCTCCACTTGGGGAGGCTGGGGCTAATGAGGCCTTGGGGGACCAGCAGGACCCCCAGCCTGGGATGTCAGGCGGCAAGGGGGCCGCTGCAGGAGAGGCGAGGTCCAGGGCACGGCCGCCCACCAGCACCGGAAAGGTACGGTGGCGGGTGATTGTTGTTGGAGACTCCCTGCTGAGGGGCACTGAGCCGGCGGTGTGCCGCCCCAACCTGGAGATAAGGGAGGTTTGCTGCCTGCCAGGCGCATGCATCCGGCATGTGATGGACAGAGTGGAGCGTCTTGTTTGCTCCAGGGGTCACCAGCCACTCCTGGTGATCCATGTGGGCACAAATGATGTGGCCAGGCAGGGTGTGGTTGGGACCAGCAGGGACTTTGAGGCCTTGGGGAAGAAACTCAGGGAGCTGAAGTCCCAAGTGGCCTTCTCGTCAATCTTACCTGTCCGGGGATTTGGGCCAGGAAGGGACAGGAGGGCCTCCGAGGTGAACGACTGGCTTTGGGTGTGGTGCCAGAAGGAACGCTTCGGGTTCCTCGACCATGGCACT